TTTTCGGCAGTAAGGCTTTTTGAACCTCTTCCTGGCCGCTATATTGCAATATTTACTTGATCTTATCAATTTAATGAATCTTGCAATTTTCAAGCAGGTGACAACTTTCTAATATTTTTCTTTCTATACTTTAAGTAAGACCTCTTTTTTTCGAGTGATGCGCGTAAAAACAGACAGACATACAGACAAACAAAAAATCTAAAAATTGTTTGATTTGTTGGTTGTTCTAATAAACACCCCCCATATTAATTTTTCTTTAACCTACATATAATGTACAGACATCGGCCTGTTACAATTTTATATGTAGATATATGTATTTATCCCAGACATCCAATACAAAAAGAAAACTCAACGACTTTCGTTAAGTAATGAAATCAATCAATACTTGAACCTGAAAACCCCTTTATACATCCCTGAAGCCCTAAGCACGCACAACCGCAATAATTAATATTACCGAGGATTATGGTAAATTGCCGCAAAATATGCCCCGTTCGAACTCTTCCTTTTCACCGTCAGCATATATAAGTGTATATATACTTTTTTGGTTATGAAAACATACGCCGACTAATTAAACAAAACTTTAATAAATCACCAGAATGTTGCGATGTTTGAACGTCGTGCGGTTTATCGAAGGTAAACGCATCGAAAATAAATTGCTGAACTACTCGATATTTACCCGGCAGTGAAAAGCTGACCCAGTATGCACAAATTCCAATTCATTAACTATTATTTAAGGGTAAAATTCATACCAGTTGGTTATGAACTATTATTATACCAGTTGCTCGTAGAAAAAAGTAAACTAGTTGGTAGAAATTCTAGTTTGAAAACTGGTATAAAATGGGGAAGTCATACCAGTTCGTCGTGGACTATAATCATACCAGTTCTGCGCAGTGAAATGCCAAACCAGCCAGTAAAAGTAGTAGTTCGTTAACTAGTATGCGCTAAAGCGACGGCCTACCATTTCGGCGATTTCAAACAACTTATGTGATCAGCGACATCTGTATTGGAATTGCCAAACCCAAAACTAAAATCCTTTCCTCACAAATGTCAGCTGTGGCTTCCATTCTCGTTCTGAGATCTCAGGTTCGAGTCCACTTGGAGGTTGTTAAAGTGAACTAAGTAAATTATTTTAATTTAAATATAAAATCAAAATTGTAAATTAAATCTCATTTGGCAAAAACCTAAAAATACTCAGAAACTATAACAAATTAAAAGAAAGAATTTTCTGATGTTTTTAAAACAATACAATTTCAAAACTACAACAAAATATAGAAATAAAATAAAATAAATAATAAAATAAAAGATTCGCTTACTAAGATTCGAACTCGGATCTCTTGATTTGGCGTGCTAGAGCTTTGTACTGTAAGCCATTGCCACAGTTGCAGCGCCGCGAGCAAAATGGTATACTTTTGCTGCTCCCGGGGAATGAATTAGCGGTCTATCCCGTCAACCGGTATGATGTTACTAGTATTTCTACTGGTAAGGTGCTCATGCAGGAGCGGACAATTGACATCTCCTATGACACCGCCATGTTAAAAATACCAGTCGCTAACACAAAAAGGATACAACGTGAACTGGTTGGGCTGAAGCGCAAACTGGTAGCTTTTCCTGCAGGGTATTCAATTGTACATAAGTATGTATGTATTTGTGTACATTAGGTATGTCCAAACACTATATATATACTTTTTTAATATCAAACCTTTAACTAAATATTTACCTGCAAGCCGGTGCGGATTATTATTATTCTACAACAATTAAACGATATTTAGGCCAAAAAGGCAAAATTCTCTGAATAAAAGTAACTGATGCAGAACTTTGCAATTATTTTTATTTGCCCGACACTTTGAAGGAGCGATAATTTTAAACAATTAATTTTAATTGAGTGAAGTCTTAAATTATAATTTTCATAGAAAGTTAGTAAATAATGTAGAACAGATAGAACAAGGGACACTGCAACCTAAAAGGATATTTGCGATGCCAGTGATAAGTCCCTTAACCAGAAGGCTAAATATAATTTCAACATCCATAATAAAACGCCTGTGAACGAATTGAAATGTATTATCCTTTCTCTGTAACAGGGCAGAGTCGACACTCCAAGCAACAAAGAGCCTGATTTCTCCCGAAATTACAGGTCTCGAAATGTAGTTTCCTTTTTATTTCTGGCTAAGTCAGGCTCTTTGTTTTTCTTTACGGTCTTACAATACAGTTAAAGTTTCTGTTTCGCCAGCTCGCCACCTACTTATCTGCCTTAAATTCCCATAGATGTTTTCTGTCAAACCAGATTTTATCTTGAACAATTTCTCAGAAATTCCACATCTTTCCAACCTTGGGTTCCATCGTACTCGGTCTCTCGATTTTGTGCATTATCAATATTTTATGAGCTTCCCACTTAAATTGAGCAGACCTACAATTAAAATTTTTTGAATATATGCATGCATATGTATATTTAAATTCTTCAATTTCACAAATGCATTTGGATGTTTGAAAAAAAATTATTTCGAATAAGTAGTAGTATAGTGGAAGTTTTTTAATAAAAAGATTTCACCTCAAATTGTATACAGAGAACAACCCTAACGTAAGTAGATATGTATGTGTATTTTATTAATGTGAAACAAAGTATTATTTACCTTAATAGCCCACTCTCTTTATTAAACACCTTTGGGTAAGTACACAATAAGATTTAGAGCTGTTGGCATTCGTCGAATCTTTGGCTTTTTGTTAAAAATTGTCATTCGCGCTTCGGAATTTTATTCAGAGTAGAAGGGGCAATTGAATATACCGCGATAAATTTTGGTTAATTCATATACCCCTTAAACTACTTAGAATTATTCAAATATAAAGAAACGGTTCTAGGAGCACCAAATTCCATTAACGAAAGTTGGCTTCTACACTTTTTTTGGAGCTTAAACATCAGCTCAAGCTTTCAATTTCAAGTATGTCCTGCCAAATTACAAATTATCCACACTGAACTCTTATGAAAATCCACCAACCTTATCATTAGTTAAATTTCCGCCGAACCGGTTCACTTTTCACTTACGTGTATTAACTACGGGCAGATTAAAATATTTCGGGTGAATTTATTTTCGGTCGACACCGAGGATAAGGCTGAAATCCTTGAAGTGCAGAGTATGGCATGCATGTGCTTTACATACTCCCTTTCTTACATATGAAGATGGATACCTGACTTAACTTAGCAGTGCAAACATTCACCCCACTGAATTTTTTCATTTTTTACAAGCTACCGCAAATAATCAGACAGATTCATTAAAAGGAAACCCAAACAAAGAAAAGGTCAGTACATAAGACGATGAATCTACGGTACTACTACTTACGTTGTAAGACAATTTTAATTGCTTTCGATAAGACATCAGGAGTTAGAAGAATTGTATAAAAAAAGTGTATTGTTGAAGCGTTGTAAATACATAGAAATGAAAGTATGTTTGCCTGAAAAAAAATAATTTTTTTTTTTTTAAACGATGTTCTTTGTGCTCCTTTTTCGGTGCAATATTTGCTTGGAAACGAGAGTGATTTGATAGGTGCGGTAAATAGTAACGAAAAAGTAATATAAATAATTTTAATGACAATGTGATATCTCATCAAACTTTGTCAGAAGAATATATAATCATAAAATATCCAATAAATTTCCACCCAATTTTAAATACTTCCTGGAAAAAAATTAGCTTGCCCGGTTTTCAATTTATTAAAAAAAATAGTCATTTGAAAAGAAACGGTTCCCCATTTTCTAATTATTTTACATACATATTCAGCCTTATCATGAGCTTCATTTTCCCCGAACCGGTTCACTTTTCACTTTTGGTTCTCTTAAAAATAAATAAGGCTGCTATAGACTTTTAGGTGGTTGGAAGGACAATAGTTGATAACTGTTTCGTCGGAACTTATACTTCTTTACTTGTTTCTTGTTCAATTTTTATAAACTGTATTTATTGAATTTTTTTTGCTTTTTGGATCTAATTTTCTTTTGATTTGTAGATTTTATTGCTTTAAAAAGGAAACACATTTTTGTTTTTTTATTTTTTATTTAATTGAAATTTTAGAAACTGTTTGCTAAAAGACAAACCAAACCAATAACAGGCCAATTCTGGCATATGTCTTTCAACTCACCTCAGTCTTTCGAGAGACAAAAGTCTTTATTTTTCGGCAACTATCTTGAAAGCCCTTTTCTGTATTTCGAATTACTAATTGAAAGATGTGCTAATAATGTTATTATATTCATCGTTTAGCAATAAGTTTTCTAAAAACTAAACGAAATGAAAAAAATATATATTTTTTTTTATAAAAGGAAAAACTAAAAATTTGAGAAACTGAGAGTAAAATAAAAAAAAAAAGTTTCCAAACGTTAAATAAAATAAAAAATATGAATTCATTAAGCAATAAAACTAACAACATGGGGCACTCTTTTATTTTATTCTACGTACAAAATGCTAGGGTTTGAAAAATTTAATCTTTTTCTAACGAAAATTTCGAAAAAAAGTATCATTTTCCAGCTATAACTCAGGGACTTTGCGAAATTATTAGTAAAAAAGTTTTGCGATTTTGTGTAAAAATTAAAATTTTTTGAAATCATGGTAGTGACCCCAATTTTTTTTTTTTTTTAATTTTGGAAATTTTGTGGATTCTTAATTTTGTACGTACTCGAATGTACATATACATACATATGTATCTAACTCAAATCAGTAGAGCTGCTACAATAATGCGTTGGAAACAATAGTGTGCGGCAATATTTAAAAATAATTTTTATATAGTTTATTTTAAATCTGCCAGCTCCTCTATCTCCTTCCACATTAACTTCATCTATCGCATTTATCAAACCACCATCGTAAAAGTTTTCTATTCGTTTTGCTGAAATTTTGGGCCAGCTTGGTGCTTTTGTTTTCATTTGGGCAAAGATAAATTGCTTAATTTTTTTGGTAAAACAAAAACAAAAAGGACATAAAAAAACAAAATGACGCACTACCGCTGGCTGACCAATGAAGTGATTAATGCACACATCGGCAAATAAGGCAAATAATAAATATTTATAAACATGCCGAGTTATCTTTGCCCAGATTTAAAGTCAACTTTATTGTAAGGTGCGTGCGATGAGACGCGGTGTATTGTTATTTTTATAGCTTTGTAATATTTGTATTAGCTAAATATCGACCCATTCGCACTTGGCTTAACTTTTTCAAAGCGGCTAGCTCGTCCTCTTTGTTGTGTGTGCTATTTAAACCACAAATTCCATTAATGCGCTCATCATATTTCCCAAAATACTCTGCGTGCATAGTACGGTTATTCGATTGCAGCCATGGTTTACGCATATCTTCACGAACTCGCATATCCTATGCAGAAAGGACGAGGCCAGCTGCTCACCTTTACTTCGCCGGGTTCAACAAATACACCATCCAAAAAGTCAACATTACGGCAAGCAATTTTACCTTATTGCAAAAATTACTGTGACGTCTCCTCATTGCATGGCATCCATTACGTGACTGATATCAAACGTCCACGCTTTGAACGGTTAGTTTCTTAGTTGAGTATGTTTGTATGTTAGGCTGGGTCGATTTTGTATGAGGGAAAATGAAAGCCACTTCATCGTATTGTAATGAACGAATGAAAACAATTAGTTTATGCTTACATTTAGCCTGTGAAATTGTAATAATTTTCAATACCTCGTTAATTCAGTAACTAAGTGAATATATACATATAAGAAATGGTTCGGGAATTGTTTCAAACTTTTTCGGGGTTTTGTGTGTCATATATATATATCTATCTATATGCATTTAACTCACAAAGGGTGGGAAATAAATCTAAAGCGACTTGTTGCACAAAGTGAAGACATTTAGATATAGCTTCGTCGATTTAATTATGTGAAAAAGTGATGGTAGCCAAAATTCTGAAAAATTCTTTAAAATGAACTAAAATTGGACACCAATAAATGAATTTTTCTGAGATTCAGTGAAACATATTACTAACTTTTTCACGTTCTCTTGCTTAAATTTTTAAGTTATTTCTACAATTGGAAAGAAATCGTTAAAACGCCAAGTTGCATAGTTTTTTTGCTATATCTTTGATATTTAGTACTTGACCTATGCGGAATATTTACCAAATAAAAGATTGATTTAATTCAAATTACCAAAAAATTTTTTTAGAAAAATTTAAATTTTTTAACAAACATACCTGACTGTTTTCTCAAAATGTTACTTGTGCATATTATTTATATACTAAAATACCCAGAAAATAATTTAGGCAGGCCTTCTTAAGTGAAGCCATTCTTAAATTGTTGAATTGCTTTTCTATAAGCCAATAACTGCTTTTGCTATTAAAAATTTTTATGAATGTATAAGTATTTTTTTCATTACAAATGAGTTTCAAACTGGATTTTCAGTTGCATTTGATATAAATTTTTAATAAATATTTTAAAGGATAATGATTTTTATAGTTTAAAGAGGCAGCTTTAAAAGAACGCCTTCGAAAGTACCTCTTCAAGTTTAAGTCTTAAGGTCTTAAATCATAAACCAAATTTATTGTTTGTTTGGTTTACTATTTGGAATTTGTTATATACTTTCAATTCAAACATCAATTTGATTTTAATATTTGTGATTTCACTAATTCAAAATCGCGAAGTCCTGTTCACTATTACAAAAAGTTTAAAGAAACATAAACAATTTCGACCCATCCTAATGAATTTAGAAATCATGTGTGTGTGTGTGTACCGTATTTACGTATGTACATATGTTTCTTCCGCGCTGTTAGTATCATCTGGATGCTGCTACTCATTGCTACCACCTGCAGTTGCATTTACGTTTACTCGGATATGGCCGACCTGTACCAATCGCAACGCATTGAGACCGTTGTCCAGGATTCAATGACGCCCATCTTTATCAGGCCATTCCCATCGATTGGCATATGTCCCCGCAACCGCATCAATTGGCCAAAGCTATTGAAAGCTGATCAATTGTTTCTGCCGCCAAATGCTACCGCTGTGGCTGTACGCACATTTCGCCAATTTTTTGCTATTTTGTCTACTTCTCAATTTGGCGATTTTTTTTATTTGAAACCACTAACGGAACTTGAATTAGATCTGTCCCTGCTAGATAATGTGGATATCGCAGAAGTAATGCGGCATGTAAGCTTAACATGCGATGAATTTTTCGAACAACCCTGCTATTGGCAACAAATTGGCTATAACTGTTGTGAGCTCTTTTCCTTGGAACGAACAGAAAATGGTTTCTGTTTTGTCTTCAATTCGGTAGTCACGGAAATGGATAGAGAGAGACAGGTAATACATATTTTGTTATTTCAGTTGGAGAACAAAGTTTATATAGATATGTATGTACATGTGCGTATTACAGCGTAAGGATCGTTATTATCCATATCACAACTCGAAAAATTCCGTTAGATCTGGCCTTTACGTTGTTGTGAACCTTGACGGCAGTAAGCGGCATCCAAATTACACCGGTCCAATTGGAGTCAATGTGAGTCTGAGATATTACAAGTTTGATCTATTTATTGCAACCACACTCGACAGGACTTAGGTATAGTTTTTGGTTCAAAAAGCTTTCTATAAAAATTATCAGCCGGTCGGAGGCGGCATAAAGCTGTAGGTGGCTCGATTTATGTGACAGTACAGTAAATAGTAAGAGTGAGCTTTTACAGGGCAATTCTGGAGAGTATAGGTGAAATTTTTTGTAAGACAATTGAAGTTGAGTATGTATGCAAAACGGTATAAAAGGTTTTGTTTATTTTGGCATGAAAGTCTAACAAAACAAGCTCCATAGCCAACTTTCATGGTTAAAAGCTCTTTTGACAGATGACATGTTTGAGCATGTTCCAAATGGAGATAAACATACAGTCGCCATGGCCGAGTGAGCAAAGCCCTTGCATGCAATTTGAGAGATCCGAGGTTAGAAACCTAGAGCAGCGAAATATTTTTTTTTTTATTAAATTTTTTTAATAAAATGTATGCTTTTTTAATTCAATATTTTATTGTTTTAGAAAGAAAAAAATATATTTTTTTATTTAATTTAATTTCTAGAAATTACGTTGTGTATTTTTAGCTTTTTTATTAAATTTTCTTTTTAGATTTTATTGTTTTAAAAAGAAATATATTTTTAATTTTTTTTTAATCCCAACAAACTTATTTTTTTCTTCTTTTTAATTCCATTTTTTCTTTGAGTTTGTAAATTTTATTGTTTTAAAAAATTTTTTTTTTTTAATTTCATCTAACTTTTAGGAACTTTTTTCGTTGTTTGTTATTTATGGCCTTTTAACAATTATATTCAACAATTTTGTTCAGCTTGAGACCGTTTTCAAATGAAAATATTTAATTAAACAATTTTTTAATTTAATTTTCTATTAATTATTTGATTTCATTGCATATAAAGTGAGTTTTTTTTCATTTAATTTTTAAACATGTCTTATTATTATTTTTTTTATTTAATTAACTTATCTTTTTATACCCGAGCGCACTTGTGCACGAGGGTATATTATTTAATTTAATTTTCTTTTAAGATGTTATTTTTGGCCACAACATTTGAGATTGAGCTCACAGCACTAGCGATGAAATAATGATAAAGCGTTTTTGAAATTTCTTCACGCACTCCCAATGCAAACGCAAGTCAAGCAAATTATTTGACATAGCAACATTGTTGGTGATTTCTCGTCATACTGTAAATTTTAATCAAACCTACAGTGGAAGCTCGATAACTCACAATCAAGCGACCAAGTTAGAGTAATTACGAGTAGAGAATATGTAGTAAAATATAGAATACAAAATTAAAATACAAAATATAGAGATATTTTATTAGTATTTTCATTCATTTAATTCATTACGAGTTTAAAGATATTAACCACTAATAACCTATTTCCACCGAAAGCTTAACTGCAGTTAATAGGCCAGGTTTATTTTTTTTTTTTAGTTTTTGTCTTTTGATTATAATCAAAATCATAATCATAATTATTGTTTGCTTGCACTGAACATGAAAAATTACCCACTTCAAGTTGTCATCTCCTTTTTCAAAATGGGCATAGACTGCAGGTAACTTTTGGTCGGCGGAAATAAACTATAACACCACGAGTTACAGAGCACCTTAGGGAAAATAACAGTAAAAGTAATGTAAAATTCTTAAAATCCAATGAGGTCGATTTAAATACAAATCCGTAATATTTCCAATTGCAATAGTAGATCTTAATTCATTTTAATATAACACCAATGCCTGACAAATTCCGCAGAGATCTAAATATTTATTAGCGTAAAAATATTTTTCGAAACTACATAACCTACTGGTTTGCATTCTAGTTTACAGTGGAATTTTGACCTATTTTCACAATTTCAGTTAATGGTCAAACTGACAGATCAATGGCATACTACTGCACGCTTTATTCGACAAAACACAGACTCAACTGTAACAGTGAATGCACAATTAACTGTAACCGATGAAAGGACGCGTTCATCTACACCCAAGGAACGAAAATGTTTATTTGAAGTAAGTGCAAACAGAAAAAAAGCTTAACTCGCAACTTTGTTTGAGTTTAAAATCTACATGTTCGACGCAGATCCATATTGATAAATGTGTACATTAGACCATATAGTAAAAACAGTTCGGTGTAAGCCCCTGAGCCTAAAATATTTTTACAAGGCTAATTCGAACAAAAAAAATGTTTGTACAGCTGTGACCCCTTTATTGCATTTATCGAAAAAAAATCTTATTTCGTTTTTCTAAAGTTTATTAACTTCAAGTCCCACGGTAGTTACCCACCATCATAGCTCAGTTCTTATAACGGTAACCGTAAGATTTTTATCATGAAAAGTATTGTGAATATTGTAAAATAACGCACTGAGTAGAATTTTTTGACGCTGACTGTAGTGTCGGAAAAATAAAAACTGTTGCGACATTTTAACAAGTTTATTCTCTAAAAAAAACCTATACTTAACTCATAATTACAAACTTCGTGCAAAAATTAGTAAAATTGTGTCCAAATTGCAAACTATTTAATTGGAATTTATAGATAAAAGTTGTCGTATGCAGTTTTATAGCCCACTAAATTTTAATATAACACCGCCGCAAAAAAATAAAAATAAAGTACCAAAAATCTGCGAAATTTTTCATCAACTTTACACTTACACTGCATTAAAATCTAATGGCCCAGAGTTTTCTATTGCAATTTTTGCACAAAGTCTGAAACTTGCACTTACATATATAGTTTTTAGATCAATGTACTTTTTATTAGATATATAATAAAAAAAACAGGATATTTTCTAACACATTCTTTTCACAACTTTTATCATCACACATCTTTCCAGCAGATAAAAAACACGTCAGTCAAAAAGTCAAAACAAAAATGTCGTTGAGCAAAAATACAAAACTTGACGGTTCGGTGATGGTCGCGAGACTGACGGAACTGATTCGATAGCGATATTTTTTTTTTTACTGATACTCTGAAGTGCCGGAACTGTAAGGAGCCGTGACTGATGTTCGCGGTTAGACCTTACAGCCAATTTAACGAAGCCATTTAAGTGAAAAATGATTTTAATTTTCTGATTTTTTTATGGAAATTGACAGAAAATAAAAAATCATTTTCCATTTAAATTACTGGTGAGACCGGCATGTAACAGGTCGTGAGATTTGCTCATATGCATCGGTAGATATTCAAGATAAAAGCAAGCAAAAGCTGGTATAAAATTATAAGAAAAAATATATATATAAAATGGAGAAGTTATGGGACATATAATTTATTCAGTTTTATGCATCAAAAATGGCATAAATATGTAAGGGGGGACTACTGTATTTATCAGCATATACATATGTACATATATGTATGTATGTATGTATTTACATTACATATTGACGATACTTTGGAAAAACCTCCTATCTCAAAGCATTCTCAAACAACAGTCTTTAACAAAAAAAAAAGCCCCCTATTTATAACAAAAATCACTTTTTATAATCAAAAGTACTTTTTAGTTAATGAAGAATCAAATACAGTGAATCATAGAATTTTTTTGAGGAGGCCTATTTTGAATTAGTTTTACGAGATGCGTGGTAATGGCGATTTCTGAGATGCGAGGTTTTGCCAAATTACCGTCGGTCGATATGTATTTGCATTCATTGCAGGATGAAGACGAGCATCCACTATATAAGACACTGCCAGGATTGAAATATCGACGTTCCAATTGCTTCACACGCTGTCGTCAGGAGTATACCTTCAATTATTGCAAATGCAATATGGACTTGTTCTTTCCGCATGATCCAAACGGTGAGTTCTTACAACGCCAAATCAAGTATATAATCAGGCATGCATTCACAAGTTCGTACATGCATACGTATGTATATATGTATATATGAATAAATATATAAAAGTAAATCATATGAATGCAAATGAATTGTTACTTGCAATGTGCGCAAGTGTTCAGGTGTTGGATTGCAATTATTTTTTCTATTTTTGCTATGTATTGCTCTTTCTCTTTCCTACAACTACATAACGCATAGACAATGTAACCGCATGCAAAGCTAAGGACTTCAAATGTTTCTATGAGTATAGAGGTAACTGCCAGTATGTTCATGCAACACAAATACAAATGCACATCGGAGTACTTACACAAACATACATACCTACGTACTAAATGAAAATAAGAGAAATCACCACAAATCTCTTTTTTTTAATTTAATTTGCTTACATTGGTGTGTGGTGATTTCACACTCAATTTGTGTTCGACTTTGGTGTTGACTTTTAATTTTCAGATCTTTTTAATGCTGATCATCACGTGTTGGAAAGTAAATATCTTGATAATGTGTCCAATGGCAGTATGATATGCGAGTGTTTGAGTAGCTGTGATCAAATGATATTCGTTACCAATTACATCAGTTCGCCGTGGGAGGGGTGAGTTTTCTCAAAACAGAAAATCGATCGCTTAGATTGATACAAATACGGGTACATATCGATAGTCCTATGCAATAACGACACAATTCAAAATTCGAAAAATAAAAATTCATTCTTCTGTTGGGTGACTCATGTCTCTAATCCTTG